CCTGGTGCCTCTGTGAACTCCGAGAGTTCCCTGTGCTATCAGGGAAGGGTGATTATATCCCCCTCCTCTGGAACATCCCACGTGTTCGCTGAAGTAGTGCTTCAAGCTAAATCAGTTTGCTGAGGGCTCCAGCTTCCCTTAATTCAGTGTCAGGACCAGGCTTGCATGGCCATTATTCAAGAAGTTTTATCAGAAGCACAAAGCTAGCATCTGCCCTCCTGCTTCCCTCTGGGCATCACCAGCTCTCCTGCCCTGGCTTTGGCACATGGAGGCTCGAGGGACGGCCTCCCCGAGCCCATTTGCAGGCAAAGCTCGTTCCAGCTCCTAGAGAGTCTCGGCTGTTTCACTGGCTGCGGGAGCACGGTGGCTTGTCACTGGTGCCTGGCACAGCAGCTCAGAAAACCTGCCAGAACCGAGGAGCTCGTGTGGGAAAAGGGAGCAAAGGCACTGCTCACATTGCTAGCCTCTCCCCTTCCCTCTTCCAACCCAGCTCAGTTGAACTAGGGCTGGATTTCAGGTTTTAATCTCAGGCTGATATCCACACACTTTCTCCCAGAGGTAGCCACCTTCTTTCCTAGGCCTGGCTCATGTCCCTCTACACTCATTTCTCTGGTGGAGCCTGCCCAGACCCGTGTTCACGTGGATGTTGATGGGAGGAGAAGGGTATTTTTCAAGGTTTCTGCTGGGTTTTTTTCTTCTGAAATATAAGGATGTGCAATTTTTTTAGTTTCAATTTAGCATTGGAGAATTTTATAATTTAGTAATTAAAATCTCTGATAGGCTTTAGAAATTGCAGCTAATTGAATTTAATGGGAAGATGATTTTCAATTTTATTTGATTACCCGGACCCCTGGCATTGGTATTTATGGGAAAAAAATGGGAAATGTGCTGTGTGGGCTAAGATGGCATAATTGAATTAGGGCTAATCGGATTTCTTCGTCATGAATTTCACTATAATTTTCCTATAATTTTCCATTAGATATCTAGTTTACAAATATTCACAAAGAAATGAAGCTCTTTCGGAATGGAGATTGCTGGCTAACAGGATTACAGGGACGATAGCTCGGCATTGCCAGCCCGGGCTCCTTCAGTAATGCAATCGCTGCGTCTGCCTCACACTTAGCGCCCGCCGCTGCTCCCGCAGCCCCGGCCCCGTGCCAGGGCTCCCGGGGGGCCGCGGCCGCGCTTCCGCCGGGCTCTGCGGCCCCTGCCCGGCGGGTCCCTGAGCCCTCGGGGGCACACGGGCACAGCCAGCCCTGTACAGCCAGCCCTGCACAGCCAGCCCCTGCCCGGCGGGTCCCCGTGCCCTCGGGGGCACACGGGCACAGGCACAGCCAGCCCTGTACAGCCAGCCCTGCACAGCCAGCCCCTGCCCGGCGGTGTCCCCATCCCTCGGGGGCACTCGGGTCCTGTGCCGGGCACTCGGCGGTGTCCCCGTCCCTCGGGGGCACTCGGGTCCTGTGCCGGGCACTCGGCGGTGTCCCCATCCCTCGGGGGCACTCGGGTCCTGTGCCGGGCACTCGGCGGTGTCCCCGTGCCCTCGGGGGCACTCGGGTCCTGTGCCGGGCACTCGGCGGTGTCCCCGTCCCTCGGGGGCACTCGGGTCCCCGCCGGGGCTGCGCGCCCCCGCGGCGTTGGCGCGTCCCCGGCTCGCTCGGAGCCCTGGCAGGCACGCTGGCACATCGCCTGTGTCAGCAGCGTTGAAGCTCAGGCGGCCCCGTTGCACAAGCAGGGCCAGCCCACGCGGGTACACGCGTCCTGCGTCGCGGGCAGCTCTCGGAATGCGCCCACCACCAGCTTGCTTGCGTACGAGGGGACGCTTTGCCTTCCCTCGCTGTGCTCTGGTGGGGATGCTGCTGTCACATCCCAGAGGAGGAAGAGCTGTCAGTCCCCACTGTGCGCAGTCCTGGGTCTGATGCCCATTTCTCACCTCCTCCATCATCTCCCCTCTTTGTCACTTCTATTGAATGAGTGACTGCTTCTTTGGGGACAGTCCCTGGCAGTGCCCTGTTCCTGCCTCAGTGCTCTGCATGGGAGCCGGGCTGACACAGGCTCTGCCTGTGGTGGGGCAGGTAGAGCAGAGCAGACAATGTGCCAGATTCCCTCTGCCTTCCCTCCTTTCTCCTCTTGCCCGTGCCCAAGGCACATTAAATCCAGAGTGAATTTATGGAGACCAGCCCTACTCCACAGTGTCAGAGTCCTGTAAAATCCAGCCTGTCTGTTGACCTGCCCCATCTCTGTTACTTGGGAGCCTTTATAGATCTGCCCAGCTCATGTCAGGGTAGAGCTGCTGGGGGAGCAAGTCATTGCCCTGTAGAGTAAGTAGGGTGGCAGCTCCTCTCTACCCAGTGCCCTTTGACACCTGCATGCCATTAGGCCTTCCACATATGTCCATAGCAGGACAATCTCTCTAAAACATCCATGACAATCCAGCCCTGTCCTGGCTGCTGCAGGACCATGCACAGGTCTTCCTGTGTCATTGCATTTACATGACTCCGTGTGTATGCACATGGCATGTGCTCATGCTTTCATTTGCGTGTCTCTGCAGGAACACAAGCTGGCTTGCAGATCCTCTGGACAGAAATCAGAAATCACCATTTCTGTTTGCGCTTGCCCCATGCGCTGCAGAAATAGGTCTTGCGCAGTCTGGGGCCCATCCTTGGGCAGCAGTTTCCCATCCCAGCTGTGTGCTTTGCCAAGCCCGGGCTCCGGGGCTTTGTGGGGTTCAGGATGGTTCAGGGTGGTGTTTGCTGGTTTTGCAGGCAGAGCACCTGCTTTTGAGTGCCAGGTACCTTCCCTATTGGACCTGCTGCCTGGGTACGACTATGCCCTTACCTCCTCACCCTGAAATCCCCAGGCTGCAGTTTTAATTGCTGCAGTAAATTGTAACTAATTGTTAGTGCATTCAAACCCCTGCCACTCCTTCCCCCCAAGTCTTCCTGGGCCCCTGTGGAGCACATGCCGTGTACGTTCAGTGCCGTGTGGCCAGTTCCCAGTACAGTCATTCCCTCTGGGCAGTGGTCAAGAGATGAGCAGCATTGGCTTCCAGCAGATGCTGGAAGCTGTGGGGTGCCTGGAAAAGCAGTGGCTACATGGTGGGGACCTGGTGTCAAACTGTTTGAGGCCAAAGGAACAGTAAATGGCAGAATTGCTCCCAGCAGAGCCTTCCCCAGCACGCTGAGACTTAGCACAGCTGCTTTGGCAAGGGGTTCTGGGAGCCATGTGCCAATAATGTGATTGAAACTGAATTGAGAAGGAAGGAGGGAAAGAGAAGGAAAGGGAAAGAAAGCATGGATTGTCTGCTCCTGCCGCCCAGGCCCCGAGGCCTCTGGGCACCTCCCTTGACGAAACAGAAATCAAACAAAATTACAGAAATAGGGCAGGAGCATTTGCCTAATAGACTCCCCAAGCAGGAGCAGGAGGAGGGGCACAGCACTGCCAGATCTCCAACCTGCAATCTGAGAGCCAGCGCCCTGATCCCACATGAATCCAGAGCACAGTCCCAGGCCCCCAGGCCAGCTCCAGCTAAGGAGGGAGAAACTGCCAAGAAAATGGGCTAAGCATAAAAAACAAAGGTAGAAGAGACACAAAAAGGGGGATGTCCCACATCTCAGTGTGACTCACCCCCTGCTCAGCCCTGGCACACTGTCTGCGGGGAAAGCATTAAACTGTAATAATAATAAATTAATCATCCTTCCCCCTCCCATTGCACTTTTCATCTGAGGATCTCTGAGCACCTGGCAAACATTAATTACCAAGAGCTCCTCATGCCCCTGGGAGGGTGGAAGGGGACACAGAGAGATCTCTTCACCTGCCACGGAAGGGCAGATGTGGCTGGAGCGGATGGGGCGGCTCTCGCCATGGCACGGAAACAAAGTTCAGAGCAGGGTGAGGGGTGCTGCCTTCCCTCGAGTGCTCCTGGAGAGCAGGGGGTCCGGGAGCCTCTTCATGCCAGGGCACGGTCAGAGGCAGCTTTTCCTCAGAGTGGATCCACACCCTGAAGGGATAAGGGAAGGAGGGGAGGTGCCACCCTCACGGGGGGCACAGGAGCAGAAAGCTTCAGAGCCCTTGAGAGAGGAAAGAACCAACGTTCCTTGGGTAAGAGGCAAAGGAGGGAGTATGGGGAAATAAAACCTGATCCTGTGACAGGAGATTGCTGAGATAGGAAATCAGGCCTTGCCATTGCATCAGCTGCAGGGCGTGGATTTCACCTGAAAAAACACCTTGGCAAGTTGTTCCTGCAAGGAGGAGTGGGAGGGACAGTGGGAAGTCTGTGGAGGGGATCCTCCAGGTGTGTTTAGGTTGTGTGTGTGGGTTCATGTGTGTCATGGTGAATGGATATGTGTGTATTTGAATGTCAGTGAACACAGAGTATCATTTTCTTTGTGGAGGGCATATGCATGTTGCGTGTGCATGCTGGGATGGGAGGGGTGGGGAACATTTGTATACTGATGTGTGAACGTGCTCAGCTTGGTGCACGTAGAAGAACAGGTATGTTCAGAGGGTCTGTGGGGCTGTGTGTGCCTAGTGACATATCCGTGTTAGAAAGTGTGTTCCTCTTTGTGAGGAATTGGAGATCCAGCGGGAGCCCCCTTTCTCAGGGAACAGTGGTGGTGAGCAGAACTCCCACTCGTTAAATCTTAAGTTCACAGAAGAAGCAAAAATGAAGATATCTGACATAAAGTGCAGTGAACTTATGGGACCTGTCAGCAAACTCAAACCTGCAAGTGTTGAATCCAAACTGATCTGTTACAGAGCCTGCACAAACAGTTGTGGTTCTGTCCATTACTTCGCAGGGTGGGATATTCCTCGGCAGGTGCTGTAGTGCCTGACTCAGGTGTAGGGACCAGGGCAGGCTCTGCTGAGGACTGTGGGTGATGTCGGCTGGGTGCTGGGGCTGAGTGAAGTGCAGACAGGCAGGATTGTAAAGGCAGCACGGGGTGACAGCTGATCGGAGCTGATGGTGTGGTTAGAAACCAGTGAGTGGGGAAGTCGGGGCAATGCCGATCAAGCAGGAGCTTGGCTGCACCGAGTGGGAAGGTGAGTCCTGTACAGGGCTCTGTTCAGGAGTGCTGCTTGGCTGGGCAGCCCCCAGGCAGGGCACACTTGCCTCCTGCCTGACTCTGTTGTCCCCACGTGCTTCCCGGCTTGGAAGGTCCCTGGGTGGCTCCATTTCACTAGACTTTGTTTAGATTTTTCTCTGAGAGGAGCCAGAATATTTGTGGTTTCCACAAATGACTCCCCTCTCCTCTTCCCTCTCCCTGCCCTCTGGCCTGCATTGCTGCCTGTGCGTTTTTGTCCATGCAAATGCAGCACTGCTGAGGTGATGAGCTACGGTTTGTGTTGCGTCTGTGGGCTCAGGACACTATCAGGGTGCAGCACATCCTGGTGCATGGAGCCAAACACACCTGGGCTCCTTCCAGCCCTGTGACTAACCTGTCCAGCCACTTCTGGCGAGTCACTTCCCTCACTAGTGCCTCAGTTTCCCCATCCCTAGTGGGGTAATGATGCTGGCCTCCTTTGGGAAGCACATTAAGTTCTGCTTATAAAAAGGATTTAAGAGCTGGTAAGTCCATGGGCAGCTCTGTGTGAGCCCCGGTGAGGAGCCCAGCTCTGCCAAAATCCTGGAGCCAAACGTGGTGTGTTCACAAAAACAGCCTACAACCTGCTCAAAATACCTATTTAATCAGGTAAATAATCTGCTCGTTTGTTTTAAAGAAAGAGGCTTATATCTGTGTTTACCCAACACGCCTCTCAGAACCTCCCTCGCATTCTTTGCTACTTAGAAAAATAAAGCCAAAAAAAATGAGGAAATTCACTGCAAACGGGCCCCCTTCCCCCCGCCTCCCGTGGGCCCGGCGTTCAGGGGTAGAGCGCCGTGATCTTCCTGAGGGCAAGATGCGTCCGGGGTTGTGACACCCGCAGGTGGCGGCCACCAGTGCCCCGAGGGCTCCAGTCCTGCTCGGTGCGCGCTGCGCACCGCACGGCCGAGCCCGGACCCGCGTGGGACGGCGCTGCCGGGGCAAACCCGCCCGCGGCTCCTGCCGTGCCCGGTACCCAGGGCACCGCTGCCGCTCCTCTCCTCCGGCCCCGTACGCCCCCCTCCCTCCATCCCCTCGTGGTTTGCGGTCTGCTCCGCGCCGGCGGCTCCGTCCCCGCCGCCCCGGGGCTTCCGGAGGAGCCAGCGCCGCGGCCGCGGGGCGGGTGGCGGCGGCGGCCGGCAGCGATGGCTGCGGGGCACCGCGGCCAGGCTGGTCCCGGCGGGCGGCCCTGCGTGCGGGGCAGCCCCGCGCTCCTTGCCCGCCGTGCCGGGACCGCCGCGGGGTGCGCGAGGGCCGCGCTCCGGCTCCGCCCGAGGTAACCCCGCCGCCGCTGCCCCCCGGCCCGGCCCGACCCGACCCGACCCGATCCAAGCCGTCCCGGCCCCGCACCTGCCCCCGGCGCCGGGCCCGGCGAGGGGGCGGCTCCGCCGGCCGCCAGTCACCGCCCCCCGCGCGGCGCGCCCGCCCCCGGCCCCGCTGCCAAAGTGACTCGGGGAGGACCGGCACGGCAATGACATCAGTGCTTTAAACAACTTGTTATTCGGGAGCAATCAGCTGCAATTAGGTATTAATTAAGTATTATGAAAGTTGATTATTTAAGTGAATTCGGCTTTCGTCTCTCCGACTATGGTAAGTACAGCACAATTGTCCTTTTCCTGCCCCCAGCCCCCCGCCCGCCTCTCGGCGGAGCCCCCGGTCGGTGCGGCCGCCGGTGCCGGTGCCCCCGCGCCGGGCGGTGCGGAGCGCAGCGCTGTCCGCCGCGGCCGCCCCTCCGCAGCTGTGCCGCTCTGAGCCGCGGGGCCGGCGCTGCGGGCAGCGCAGTCTCTCCGGACGCGGGGCCGCCGCCGCACCGAAACTTTTGTTGGCCGGGTGCGCGGTGCAGGGCTGCGGGCCGGGCGGAGCGGGGCGCGGGGGCCGCGCCAGGTGCGGCGCGGTGCGGTGCGGCGGGGGGCTCGCCGCCTCTTTCACTTTGCTTCTTTCACTTGTTTTACGGAAGTTGCTCCCGCGCCCGCCGCCGCTTCGGCCCCGCTCTCCCGGCCCCGCCGAGGTGAGCCGGGGGCTCTGGTCCCTCCGTCGGTCCTTCCCGGCAGCGCGGCCCCCGCGGGCCGGGGCAGCGGGGAGAGGAGCGGGCCGGCCGTGAGAGGATGCGGAGGGGAAGTTTATGGGGGTTTTGAAATGATTCTGCCTTTGTATTTGTTGTAAGTTGTGTGGGTTGTTTTCTCTTTCATATTTTCCCCCCTCCTGAGCTCTGGCGTGTCGGTGGTAAAGGTTGCTTGTCAGGTTCCTGTACTGCCTAAATGAAAAGGAATTTAATTTATTTGGGACAAGGCAGTGTCAGATGAAGAGGCTGCTTATTACATTTAATGAGTTGTTTTTTGGTTTTATTCAGCCTGGGCATATCTGGGATGGGTTTGTTTTTGTCCTTCCATGTGAGGTGTATGAGACCTCCCCCACCCCTTCACATCATGAAGGGAGGAGGAAAGGTGGCCAGGCTGGGGCAATGTTTTGGTTTTAGATTACAGGCCCTAGTACTGGGGTTGGGCGTGTTTTTGATTGTAGCTTTCTGTGGCTTGTCCACTGGTTTTTGATCAGGTATCAGGATGGGGAGTAGGTTCTGGCCTGGTGCTGGGCTGGGCTGGACTGGGCTGGGGGCCCTGCTGGGTGTGATGATGGACAGGTCTCCATCAGGCTGGAGTGTGATTGCAGCCAGGAGCTTCGGGGCTCAAAGTGTTGGTGGGTTTTCCAATCCTTGGACCATCTGGATCAGAGTCTCATTTAGATTTGACAAAATGTGCAAATTCAGACTTTGGTAGGAATCTGTCCCTTAGGTGATGTTACCTTTCTCTTTGGGACCAGGTCCCACCACCATGGCCCAGTACTGGCTAACACAACTACACCTGCTCCTCCAAAATGGTGTAAACCATTCTTTGCCATTTAAAAACCAAATGGCAGCAATGAGCCAAACAGGCCTGTGCTGGCAATGTGCCATGGTCCAGGTAATTACTGTTAGAGAGTGTGTGTGCTGTTTTTTTTTAATAAGGAGTAAGATGGTAATAAACTGGTTGATGATTGACTGGGCCTGAACTATGTACTCTGATATTGTGAGTGAGAGGATAATTTTGCCATCGTTTATTCCATTTATTTACTTATTTCTACCATTGATATCAGGAACCGAGTGGCTCGGGAGCCACTTCCACCTGTGAGCGAGACATGTCAGCTCTGCTTGGGTCCAGCCGTGGGCGTGCGGCTGCCACCCTTTCTAGATCAAGAAGCTGGGATGCTGCGTGGGCAGCTCAGGAGTTAAGGATGTGGTGAAACTGCAGGAGGGCCGATGCTTCAAAGAGCAATGAGCAGTGATTTACCCCGCTCTCCATCTCGAGGAGCCGTGGCACTGCCCGGCGGGCCGGGCCAGGCCGGGCCGGGGCGGGCCAGGCCGGGCAGGGCCGTGCCCCGGCGGGCAGGCCCGTGCCCCGGCGCTGCAGCGCCCTCTGCCGGCGGAGCGCGGCCCCGGGGGCTCCCCCTCCCCAAAACAGGGACCCTCCCTCGCCTCACGAGCGCTGTGGGTGCTCGGCCTCGCCACGGCTGCGCCCAGGGAACACGTGGGGCTTTGGTCTCCGGTGTGGGAACCCGGGGCTGCAGTATGCCATGGAAATGAGGATCGGGGAGATCTCTTCAAGTCAGCATTATGATCTGTGTGTGGGTGAACCCGTCTTGTCATGATCTTGGGGCAAAGACCTGCCCCATAATCACCACCTCTAACCCTTATCTACTTGGGCCAGCTTATCTCCCTCAGTCGCTGCCTCTTGAATTCTCTCCAAGCCCTGAGGCAGTGGCTCTCCAGAGGCAGTGCCCGAGGGCTGCTGGTACGGAGCTGCCAGCTGGCAGAGGCAAGTCCAGAGGGGTTTCTTTCCCAGAGGGACTCAGTATGTGGGGTCTGACAGTCTGCTCTTGCTGAGGGCTTTCTCAGCTCAGTCAATCCATGCATGGACCTTCTAGGACCAGAAGTGTTAATAATGGTTAAGGGCTGAAAAGAATTTGTGGACTGAGTCCATCTGCGCAGGAATGTGGCAAGATGTTCCCTACATGTGACTTTCTGCGAGTCTGGTTTTAAATACCTTGACTGACTGGGTACTTGTCACTTCCTTTGGGACAGTGTTCCCCAGCCTAGTTATCCTAGTTATGAGATTACAGGAACTGACCTCAGAATGAGGACCAAAACACCTATGGTAAATGGGCGGGGGAATAGCCAATTTCCCACTCAAAGGGTCATCTGGTGTCTTTGTCAAATCACTGCTGTTGTTTGAAACACCCCGTGGATAGAAACACCTTCTTTGGGCTGGCGGCAACTTGTTTGGGTTTTTTTTTTTTACCAGATTTTTTGGGAGACATTGGCTCAGTCAAGATTGGTGTCATTCGTGAGCTCATGCTCTGCAAAAGGTTCCCAGGCAATTGGTTTGGGTGTTCATGTCCCTTTCCAGTAGTTCTATGAGATACTTGTTGGGTGGAAAGCATTCAAGGGCTTAAGCCTACCAAGTGAAGATTGTTCCTTGGGAGAAGGGTTTAGCAGGGCAGGGATTAACCTTCCCCAAATGGAACAAGCAGCACCCAGCTATAACTTGGAGAACATGCTTCAGAGCTGCTTGAAGTCCATAGGAGTGTTTCTACTGCTTTGGCACTACGGAGAGATAACCCACAAAAAGGACAGAAGGTTGGTCTCTGAGATGAACTCCTGTTTCCTCACCTGTGCTCTGTCTGCTGTATCTCATGAGTCCTTCCAAGCCAGGTCTGCCAGTGACAGAGTGGGGTCCACTCTGATGTGTGCAGGTACTACACCATTCATGAGACACAGAGTCCCGGGGGGAGAGGCAACTTGTACTGAAACTGGCTCGAATGGTACAGATACCTCGACTGGAGGGGATCCCATAATTGATGTGTAGTTTCCAAATCATCAGTTTCTCTTTCTGTTTTGCTAAATTGTTTATGCTTCTACCCGGAGTCCTCTTTCCTGCGATTGGATCTCAGGGCTTTGCCTACACAGCCTTTTCTGTCCCACTTTTTGCACTTGGCTGTCCTCCCAGCGAGAGCCTTTGTGGCCACTTTGACTCTCCCTCTGACATCAAATCATACCCCTGGGCTGCTGTGCAGCCTACAGTTTAGGCGCCCTCTGAAAAGTTGGTTGAAAGTGTCTGGAAAGTAATGAAAAGTCCTGTAGTAGGTGAAGATAACTATTGCCTGTGCTGCATGTCCCACCTCCACCTGGGCTCCTTCCCTCCCTCCCTCCCTGCCAGGGTTTGAAGATGCAGCCCTTCCCAAGGTTTGGAGAGCTCAGGTGCCACCCAGGGCTCAGCTCCCAGAAGTGCTGACATTGCAGAGGCCGTGCTCGCCGATCCAGCTGAGGTTTGGGAGAACCAATGTCCTCGTCCTCAGCTGCACTTTGCAAAGCAAAGAGGGGGCAGAGGAGGCTTGGCTGGAAGCAGGGGAGGGGCAGAAGCTCCAGCCAAAAGTCCCACGCGGCACCGTCTCCTCCCCTCCGGTTCAGTGCGGACTGGATCAATTTGGACGTCTTCAGCAATAAAAAATGCCGATGTCGTCCTAATTCACTAGGCCCCGAGATGACAGCAAATTTACATTTTTTAATTAAACTAGCAGCCAGTTTTTATGAGAGGGGGCTGGGTTATGCAAATCAAATGGTTGTGTACGAAAGATTAGGAGAGTTTGGGAATAAATTCCACAAATGCTAATAAAAAAAAAGAGAGAAAATGAGAGGGGGGAGAGAGAGGGACATTGTTCCATTAGCCCCTTTTAGGCTGATTTCCCTAGGGAGAAAGCTATGGGGGGTGAGAGATGGAGGCAGCTTTCAGAGACAGGTAAAATCCATTTCGAGGATGGAGAGCCCCTTGCACCAGGACCTTGTTGCTCCCTGTTTTGTCTCCGAGGGCTCGCAGGGGAGAAGGAGGAAGAAATTGGTAACAAAAGAAACACTTGCTGGTTTCTAATCCCCATTCCTGCTTGACCAGTGATCCACAGGCTGGAACAGCAGCGGGGACTGGCTTGAGGATGTAGAAGGTGCACAGTGCTCAGGTGCTGGAGGGGCACAGGTGGGTGAGGGGCTGGGCCAGGTCATCGTGGTGCTGCAAGAGGTGGATGTGGCAGGGTGACAGGGCAGTCCCTGGATGGGCAAAGCCCAGGGGCTACACAAAGCTTCTCTGGACAGGGCCCATCTTTGGGCTGACAGATGGTCACAGGGCAGGGCTGCAGCTGGGATTGGTACCCTGGGGCTTCATCTCCTTTGTGCAGCTCTTGTGGGTGGGCTGCTGGTCCCTGGCAGGAGCTGCTGGTTGGAACAGGCAGGAGTGCTGATCACAGGTGAGGGTCTAGGCTGCTGTTCCACGTAAGCACAGGCTTTATCTGCAGAGCAGAGTGTGTTTTGGAGTGGGATGGTGATGCTTTTCCCTCACCCACGCTGTGGAGCCCCTTGTTGCCCATCCGTAGAGATCTCAGAGGCTGACTCCAGCTGTCAGCACCTCTTTCCATGTGTTAACCTGGCACCAGTCTTCATCTCTCCCTCAAGGGACTTTCCATCTTTCTTCATGTGGTGATTCCAGAAAATAAAAGTTTGTCAAGTCCCTTCAGGAAGAAATAGTTACAGCGAACAAAAAACATGCGTTTCACTCACGTAAAATATGTTCTTGTCGAAGTTTCCCAAAGAATTCCAAGTTCTCGTTGCATTTAGGAGTTAGGTGTGGTGGCTAGGTACCAAAGCAATTGTTTGCTCTGCTGTGGAGAAACAAAACCAGAAAATTTCTGGAGGCTGGGAAACTGCTTAAAGCTTCCAGTCCTAAGGCAGTTTCATGCTTGGAATAAAAGCTGAACAACCCATGCAGGTTGGCAAGAGAAAGCAAAGGGTGGAGAACAGGAGATACAAGGGAAAAGGATGGGAAGACTAAGGTCACTGGGTGCATTTTATGACAATCCCCTGAGGATTTGGTGCCTCACTAGAGAGCTTTGCCACCCATTCCTGGTTTTGGGGTGTGAAGAGATGATTCACCAACATGCTCATGTTTTGCTTTGGAGAGGTGACATTTTAGCAGAGCCTCTCTTGTGAAATCAGTAAAAACACCAAGCTCTGGTGGCGCATTTCTGGAGGTGTTCCCCACACCCAACACCTACATCCCTGTCACTCTGTCCTGAACATGCAGGTCTGCCCCAGACACTCACCCACCTCCACGCTCCCGGACACTCACGTGTTGGTGCTGTGCTGAACCTCATGTTCTCCAGGCTGCTCTCTCAAGGCATTGCCATGATGAACGCTCTGGTTCTGTGCACTTGCATCATCGTTGCCATGAATGAATCCTTCTTGGCAGCAAGAGAAGGTGAGGGTGGTGTCTGCCCTGTGTGTTGGGTGTCTCTGTGCTCCCCCCAGTCTGCTGCTGGTAGCCTTGGCATCAGCTTGGTCCACAGCTTCAGACAGACAGCTGTACAGGGGCTTTTTGTAACACGAGTTTCTGAGCTGAACTAGGGCCAAGTTCAGCCTAAAACTAACAAAAAGCTCCAGAACAGGTCTGTGAGACATGGCAGAGTCTGAGGATTTGGTGTAGGATGAATAACTCCTAATCTATAAAGTGGGCATAATCATGGTGCAGCCCAGAGCCAGGGCTGGGCGCTCGGGGATGGAGATAAGTGCTGAGGGCTGGCTGCAGTCCATGGAGGGTGCGGGGTCGGGCACGAGTGCTCCTCCCTGCAGCTGGGGTGGGGTGCCTGGGCTGGGGGAGAGCTGAGCCCGCTCCCGGAGCTGCCTGGGAGCTCCTGAGCCTCCTGCCCCACTGGGTCCGGGCTGGTTTGTCATGGGGACCTCCCCAGGACCCGGGCTGGGAGCTGAAGAGCTCCAGCTGGGCTGCTCTCTTGGAGTGGTGCAGTGGTGTCAGCCCTGCTCCCAAAACTGGATGGGCCAGGGCAGAGCAGAGGAAGAATTAGGAGCTTTCAGCTTCCATACATGGGAAACTGTCAAAAGCCAGGTAGCAACACCAGCTTTTGTCTGGTATTTCCAGAAAAACCCGGCAGGACCTGGCATCCCAGGGCATAATTTATTATGGAAAAATAAAATAATAAAGTACCAATCCCTTTGAGGCCTGAGTCATAGAAGCATCTTCTCATTAAAGCAGCTCCACCTCTCTGCCTGGTGTTTGCCAGCTCCATGCCTGTATGAATCCACTCCCTGAGCTGCCTCGCCCAGGGCAGCCTTCCTCCTACTCCTCCTCCTCTTCCTGCTGCCTGTGCTTCCCCAGCACACCTCTCCTCCAGCACCCCTTCCCCTGTCTGGAGGAGCACGAGCAGTTCCACCTCTCAAGCCAGCTTCTCCCCAGGCTCCCCACCTTTGGACCAGGTGGATGTTTTATTGGTGTGTGTTGTAGACAAACATCTTCATCTTTTCACCCACCCACCTCCCACCCCTGTGCTATCAAGTTCTCTGGGCGTGCCCTGGCTCCCACATGCCCTTCTCCTGGCCATGTGTTGTGAAGGTGTGTGTGGTATCTTTCCATGGCTCCAAGCTCTCTTCCAAGTGGCCCTCTGCAAGCAAGGGAAGGAGAGGAAGCTGCTCCTGGAGTAATTACCATCTGCATGTCCCGAAGGCAGGCAGCAGATGTTAGCAGAGGAGGACTGGATTGGAAGAGGGTG